CTCTAGAATTCAAAAGGCTTAAAAGTTGTATTTTTTTTTTATCTATTTGTTTAGTTGACAGTGATTTTATTTGTTACTGTCAATTTTTTTTATTTTTTTATTTTTGAAATTCTCTCTTTTAATTTATTTTATGTTTTGGTGACATTCTTCAATTTATATATTATATGTCCAAATAGTGTTCGATAAAATGCATGAATAAAAATTCAATCACTAACATGTAAAATTTGAATGGTGATAATGGATACTATCACTGTCGCTGTCTAATTTCGTGGAATTTGGATGACACTATCACTGTGTCATTATTATTGTCACCGTTTCTCATTGTTACTGTCATTGTCACTATGACTATTGTCCATTTCATAATCTCGTCAATCATGTTATTAGGGGTAAAATAGTAATTGTGATTGTAATTGTCCTTAATGAGCCAAAAGAATAGCGTCTGTCAATAACAATAAAAATTCAGTATCATTGTAATTGTTACTATCTCAATATCAATGTCCTATGTTACTGCTATTGTCTAGCTGTTAATGTTATTATCTCGATGTCACTGTTTCTATCTTGTAATTAATGTTACTGTCTCTTTGTTACTGTCCATTTTTGTGATATAACTATTTATGTTATTAAGGATAAATTAATTTTTATGTCTTTAATTATCCTTTAAGCCCCAAAAAGTACGTGTCCAGCTTTATGAATCCACAAGTTTACAACTATGGACCGACCTCAAAAAATCCCAAATTTCATCCAACAAAAAAAAAAGCTTAGTTTGATGATTTAGTACAAAGAATCCAATCTAATCACACACAAAAATAAATTTGACAAAAAAATAATAATAGACATTACTAGTCATTTTCTCTCTCATTATATATTAGACTTAAACACAAATCAAACTATTTATTTTCATCCTCCCTCTTTTTATTTATTATGAGTTTAGTACTTTTCTAAATAATTAAAGACATAAAACATTAATCTACTAATTTTCTCTATTTTTTTTTCTGAATAAGCAATGTTATGGGAGAATCCTTGTATTATATCTTAATTTCGTGGGTCACAACATCAAATTAAATCTTATCGTTTTACAATTTTAATTTTTTTCTAACATAATAATATTTTTTTTTATTATAGAAGTGTTTGGTTGATTTGTAAATATAATAATTAGAAAACAAACATTTCTATAAGAAAATTTTTGAAGAATAGAAAATTTTTAAAACTATTTGAATTTTAAATGAAATATTCCTAAATATATTTGTCACTAGTAACAAACACAACATAACAAAAAAAAATAGATTAAATTTAGATAATGAACAAGAATAATCTTATAAAATTAAAAGGCTTAGATGGATTAGTCATGTGATCAACAAAAAAAAATAAGTTTATAAATTTTTAAGTCAAAATTGACTAATTATCACCATCTTAAAAAATAAAAAGCGATGATTTTTTTAAATTAATATTAAATTTTTTTAAAAAAAAACTTCATTTAGAGTCGTCGTTATGAACATCAAAGTGTATCAAGCCACCTTTTATTAACTACTTGAAAGATTTCGTGAAGTGCAGATCAAGTAAGAGATGAGGAAGACAAATAGATGTACGAATCTTTTTATTAAAAAATGGTGTACTTAGCCATGATAATTTATGTATATTTATAATTCATATATATTATATTATTGAATATTTGTACGCAGATGACATGAGAATAAAATAACACATATGTAATGTTTAACATATATTAGATGTCTAAATTATCAAAAAAGAATAATTATGTAGCACCACATTGTAACATTGATCATATTTACTATGACACTATCTTACAACGGTCCACACAAGTTTTTTGACAAATTGAAAAGAAATGCATAAAATATTAATTAACACATATATTACTTTTAATCTTTGTGTGTTATCTAGTGATCAATTTTGTCTCATCTAATCGATTTCATGGAAGAAGACTCGATAGTGAGGGATGCGTAGACACTTCAATCTTTTGAATGGGAGGAAGCACAATAGGGCTGACACTAGGGTCCAACCATTAAAATAGTCACCTAAAACCCCAAAAATTTAGGATCTCAATTTAATTTTCAGCCATTAGTTTAGCTTCATATTCTGAGGTCATTTTGAATGGATCAAGTTAAATGTCTAATGTATTTTACAAGTTTATCTAAAATATTATAAAAACCCATAAAATATAGCAATATTTTCAAAAAATTATATAAAACCTTATAGAAAACTCTAAAATATGACAAATTCTTCTAAAAAAAACCTAAAAATAACATGCCTATAAAAGTAGCAATCTCTTTCAAATTACTTTTATTCTATTTTCCTCTATTCTCATATCCTCTCTCACCCAAGTCTTTCTCTCTTTCTCACTCTCATTGTCTTGCTCTAGGCTCTCTTTCCTTATATGTGGTTCTCTTGTTATCTTTTTAAGACTACAATTAATTTATTCATCTGTAAAATTTTGACTTCACAATTACACCAAATTTATTGTCTGATCTTGTTTGATCCTAAAATTACATGTTGAAATTAAATCAAATCATAATCCTCTTTAAAATATCTCATAATCATAAAAAAAATTTATTATCTTCCTAAAATATTGATCGGAGTCTTTTAGGTCTCAATTTGTGTTAGATCACCATTGGCTCATCTTGCAAAATTTATCTTACAATGTCTATCTCCAAGAAGAATTTTTAGTTTAAGAAGTTGCGCCAATTGCCCAACTCTTTTTCTAAAGAAGACGGTGTTTGGTAGGCATCCGCTTACTATATCGATGCGACCGAGCTTTACAGAAAGCCTCCCTTGAATCTGGGTTGATTGTTTTCATACTATTCAATTCATGTGACATATGTAAATTCTTTATGTTGTGTATGTTTTTTATATGATGTTTTAGATATCTTGAAATCATAATGAGTTTCAAACATTAAGATATACAATCAATATGTAGATATAGATAGAATGGTGGTGGCATCGTTGGTGGGAGAAGAACCGGTGTGTCACTCGATTAGTCAGTTTGCAAAAATCACAACATTAAAGATAAAAATATGATCCAATGGAAATAAATATATGTACAAAGGATCAGATATATGTATAGGTATATATATTTTTTTATTTTTTAGCATAATAATAGCAATTGTTGGTTTGAACTTTGTCACCTTTTAGTGACTGACCAAAAAATTCGATAAATATAGTCATTTTGTTTAGTAAAATGGTCTTTTAAATGCATTAATTTACTTTCAATTTGTGCTGATTGTCCCATCTTAGAATGCTAGTCATGAGCGTTTCCAGCTATGCATTGTGCCTGTGATTCAGGAAATTGGTAACAACATATTTATAAGGACTTGACTATGGTACTGAAAAAAAAAAAATTTGTTACCATACTTTAAAAAGTGTTTTTACAATTTTTGTGGTTCATTTTATAAAAAAAATTATCACTTTTGGGGTTATTTTTACTATTGTTGTGATAATTATTTTTATCACTTTTCAACATCACAACAGTAATAAAAACACTCACAACAATAATAAAAATATTCACAAATATGATAAATATTGATACAATACCAAAACTTTATTTTTCAATATGGTAGACAACTCCCATTTATAAAACTAAAAAGTAGTACTACACTGAGAGAAAAACGAAGCTGGTAAAAGAAAAAAATGGCGTGACATTGATATTGTCGTGTTTTTTGTCTCTTTTTTAATCGTTTGAAATTCAACTTTTGATCACCATGTCAATTGATTCTTTTTTCAGCTCCATTTTTTGTCTCTCTAGTAGTACTCTAGAACTTAATTTTATCGAATATAGAGCTTTTAAATTACCTCTACAACTCTATCTTGTATATTCGCTAATTTTAAATTGAATAAATACATGTATAATAAGGTTAATACTTCAATCATGATTTGATAACTGGACTTGGCCACGTTGCAGTTAGTTAGTACATGTTGAAAAGAGTTAATTGAATTGACTCTATTATGACCGAACAGATAAAGTTTCAACCACCCAAGCTGTAGTTTGGCCGAGCAAATTAAATAGAAACTCGATCTAAAAAGAAATTAATTGAAAGTGATTTGCTCTATGAAAATGTATTCTCAGGCACGGAAGTGTGTATCGATCATAACCTAATAAAGGATGCTCAGAAAGATATACGATTAATGAGAGTTGAACTCTATCCTCGAGTGGTAAAGTCCTATCCGAATAAAACAGATACATTAAGAGGTGAAAGTCCAAAAACTATTGTGTAGGGAGTTAGTTTTAGGGTTCTTCTATGTATTGAATGGCAGACCCATCATCCAAAAAAGAAAGACATAAAAACAAAGCATCAAGAAAATGTCATATTTGAGCCAATGCTAAAGAATGATTACTCATTGAGGAAGATAGAAAATAATCATATTGTTCACTAAGAACTATCATCAGCATCAACAAACTCTAAGAACGCGGCTCATCAGTATTATTAAAAAAGCTTGAATTTTAGAGTCTATTTTTAAAGAATATCCAAAATTTTTAAATTATCATAAATAATCAATGTAAAAAAAATTAAATTCATAAATACTTTAAGCCATACAAAAAGGTCTTATAAAAATACAAGCCCAATTAAAAAAAAATAAAGTTCTTATAATTTATAGGTGTACAATAATAGTTCAAATAAAAAATTTAAATCAATATTTAAACAAAAGATTTCAACTTAAGTAAATTGGATCTATTAATTCAGTCACAAAATTAAAAGGCCCTAAATTTTTTTTTGTTTTTAAAATGAATAGTAAAACTAAAATTACTAAAAAATTTAGTCTTAACCCCCCAAAAATTTAAGTTTAAACTTAAAATCATAATTTTTTAATTTTTCTTTTTCTCACTTATCATCAAGTTCAAATATAATAGCAAAAGCTTGAATATAAAATTTTAATTAATATTTTTGTACTTAAAAAAATAAAAAAAGGTCTCATTTATTATTTCCATTTTAGGCCTCAAAATGTCTTGGGCCGTCCTTGCAATAAACAATAGCCTGTTGCCATTTTCTTCAGCCTCTCATTTGTTCAACAAGATTCTCAAAATTTTTAGAGGAAGACCCTCCTTTACCCACACTCTTTCTAGCCATTTCCTTCAACTTCACCACATTTTCTCTTATACCAGCATTGGAAAGCAATTCCTCCAGCTTCTGCTTAATCTCATGTCTCGAAATTATCCCATTTTCATCCCTTTCCAACGACAAACCAACCTTCCAAGCGTCTCGTATACAAGTCTGAATATACAACTGGTCTCCAAAGTAAGGCCAACACAAAAACGGGACTCCCCTGCTAACACTCTCCATGGTTGAGTTCCAACCACAATGTGTTAAGAAACAGGCGATGGATGGGTGAGCTAACACCATTTCTTGAGGCGCCCATTCGACCATTTTCCCACGATTAGCTACTCGTTCTGTGAACCCTTCAGGATATCTCAGAGATAATCCATCAGTGAGGCCTGACCACGCAACCCATAAGAATGGGCGGTCCACGAGTTCAAGCCCCATTGCTAATTCATCAATTTGGTTCTGGCTGAATTTAGATGTGCTACCAAAGGCAGCATATATGACTGATCTTGCAGGCTGGTTGTCAAGCCAGTTTAAGCAATCAAAGTCCTCGGAACACATGCTCCCAGCAATTTGGCCAGCGGCCTGTAATGGACCGATTGATAAAACGTTTGGGTTCAAATCACAGGCTGAAGGGTCGAGATCATGGAACCAATTGCAAATTAGCCAGTTTGAACTCTTCATATACGGCACAAGAGATTTGATATATTGAAACATGCCCTTTTGCATAATCGGATCGCCTGGAAAATGCCAGGTGAACTCAGCAGTGCTCATTGCAGGCATGATTGGAGATATTTGAATCTTCTTGTTTGTCAGTTGTGTTCCTGCAGAATCAACAATTTCAGAACATATCCCCAGTCTAAATTACTGTTTAGTAATATGTTTCGAAGGTTTTCGTGTATATCTCATGCTTTATTGACAGTATTCTTCAAGCCTTTCGGGGCATGAGGAATTTGTGGGCTGAATTCCTACTAGCTAGTGCATTTCCTTACAGAAGTTGGAAAATCGGTTAATGCAATATTGTTGGGAGAAAGCAAAAAAAAATTGTATTGTCCAGGCACAGTCCACGAAACTCTCGCCACTGTAGGTTTGAGGTGGTTTAGATGTACACAACCTCACCTCTACCACTTGAAAAACGGTTTTCTGTGAAAAGAAATATTGTGTCTAGTAGCGAATTCATCCTGTATGAGCTTACCATCAATGCCAATGACTTTGTCCTCAATAAGCTTTGGAATGTTGTTTGTGAGTGCCAAGCATCCTGGTGAAGAACACCAATACAGACCACCCTTTATCCCCATCTTCCCAGAAATCTCCAATGCCCATCCTAATGCATTATCAGCAATGACACCAGTGATCTTATCATTACTTCCCAATTGATTGGTCTTCTTTATCAGGTCCTCCAAATGACCAGGCATGACTTCACTAATCTTCTGGGTCATTTTACTCTGATCTTTCCGGTCATCCTCGGGTTCTAGCCCATCTGGGACTGAAACTAGCTTGACCTGTTTATTTTCGCCACCCACCTCAGGCGATGAAGTGGCCATTTTTGAAAGTACAAACTCTGTAGTCACAAAAGTGACCTTAATCCCATGATTGGCAATCTGATGAGCTAACTTCATGAGAGGACCTACATGTCCTTGTGTTGGAAATGCCACAACTAGGACATGGCCATGAGTTTGATTTAAGCTTTGGGGGCTTTCCTCCATAACACAATGATTTTTCACCTTTCAAGTTATTGGTTGAATGTGATGAGGACACAAAAGGGTTTGTTCTGAACTGTTGTTTTTGCTATTTTATAGGTTCTTGAGCATGCATTTAGCGTTGGCCTTCCTCTTGGTCTTCTAATCCTATTTGTTGTAACAAACTCATTAGGTGGATTATGTAATCGGTCAGAATCAGTCTTTGGCTTTGAATATTTCCTGATCACTAGTTAATTTGTTGATTTAATGGTACATGTGACACGTAACTCCAAGAGGTATGCAAGTGACCAGGTTTCCACCCTACAAAATTGGAGGTCTGGAGTTTTTTAAGCCTTCCACCCAAAGATTATAGTTATACAAAATTGGAGATCTGGAGTTTTTAAGTCTTCCACTCAAAGATTATGGTTATAAAAAATTGCCCTTGAGGATTGATATACCTCCTGCTTTGAAGGGGGTAGAGAGAGAGAGAGAGGATTGCATTTGTCGGAAGTTTGGTAATTTTGCTTAGTTGAAATCCGATTGGAGAGTTTTCCCATTGTCTAGGTGCACATATCTCTCAATATGGCTTTGAAATCACTAAAAGTTTTCATTGAAAATGTTCCAGTTTATGCTAAAAAGAATTTAGTTGTAAGTAGGGATGGATTGACGGATTAGGGAGGGGTATCATTAAAACTTTATAGTTTGAGAGTATTCATCGCTAATCGTATTATGGTAAGACACACTTTTCAGTTTACCAGTGGGATACGATTCTGTTTTGTTTGTGTACTTTACATACCCTTTTTGTATGCTTCTCATATGAATGATTCTAATGGAAAAAAGTTAGCTTTCATTCAAAGGTGATGAGAAGATTGAATCCAAATCGTGTTGATTTTGCGACAATAGCACAAGTCTTGTTCATCAAGGATAATGGAGAATGGGCTCTTTACTCATGCATCTTTGTGGTCACTCAAAATCCAATCCATCGACACAAAAAATAATCACGTCATGCTAGTATCAAATTCAGACAAACCAATTTTAAAAAATAAAAAATAAATACAAACCCGTTTTACTTCTTGAAAACTTACAGAATCTTTACTTGATTTTACTAATATTTAGATCAAGTGAATGTTTAATTTATTAGAGTCCATTGAGTGACGAGTTTACTTATAAGTATAGCATTCTATAATCTTAATTATAGATTTTTTATTGTTGAATTTTTCGTCGATCCTAATACAACTCCATCAATCTATATAATAAAACACATAACAATTTAAATTTTTATCTCTTACATATTTTCTCTCTTAAAAATATCACATCACTTATTTCTATCACATGTTCAATTATTTAATATTTAATTAATTTATAGTTTAATATAATTTTTATTTCAAACATTATCTATATACGATAATATATACATGTTAAAAAAATTTAATATAGTGGAATCGATTTTTTGAACACCTATGTTTTGTAATATTTTTAAGCACTAGTTATTACTAATAAATATATAATTTTAATATCAAATCATTTGACACAACTAGTTTACTAAGTCAGTGATGTACACAAACCTAGACTTACACAACCTTTTTACAATACAACATGACACCCTACCATGTATCACCTATGCCAAATTTGATGCCAGCGAAACATTATACAACTTGATATATATGTATCTTAATATTATTCCTGAGTTCGAATATCGGCAACCATTTGGTTTAGACTATATTAATACCCTAGTTTTAGTATAAATAATCTATTTTTGACCAGAACAAAAAGAAAATTAATCGAACTTTTACGATGCATTTGGTACGCAGTAATATTTTTCAATAGGTATGAAATGAGTTTAAAAATGGAATAAACTTGAGAATAAAATGGAATGCGCATTACCATTCCAATGTTTGACAGCTATATATAATTAAGTGTTAGAATAGAATGTTCATTTCATTCTTATGTTTAGATAAAACAAATTTTTCATTGGAATAGAATTAATTTTAACTAAAATATCCATAGTGACTAAAAATAATTAATAACAATTTTTTTTTTTTATGATTGTAATTGCCTTTAAAAGTTGTGTAAAAAAATTTATAATTAGAAAAATGAGAATCCACTGAAATAAATCAAACTCCTATAAATTTTAAAAAATTAAAAAACAACCAAACATACAAAAATTACTCACAAAAATTACAAATTATAAATTAGTCCAAAATTTTATTTTTTTTTCCTGTCCCGTCATCTCTCAGCAGCCAAACAGACCGAAAACTAAGAATAAACATCCATTCCGAGCGATAAGTTCATACAAGCCCCAAATTACTCATAATGGCCAAGGTGGTGGCAGCGCAACCGACCATGGTTGCGGCCGGAGAAGCCAACAGATCTGGAGGCAAAAGAGATAAGGTTCCGAGGAGTGAGAAACAGACCTTGGGGAAGATTCGCTGCAAAGATCAGAGACCCAAGGCAAAAATCTAGGGTTTGGCTGGGGACTTTCGATTCAGCTGAAGACGCAGCTCGAGCCTACGACACCGCTGCTCTTTTGTTTCGGGGACCCAAGGCCAAGATTAACTTTCCATTAACCACTCCTTCAAATCCCTACTATCCATTTCATCAGAACCCTAACGATCGCTTTGTCAATCAGCGATTGTATCCTCAGAAGCACCAGATTATCGCCCAGAGGACCACTCTTAGCAGTTTGACTGATTCTATTGAGTCGTCCAGTGGGCCTCGGCAGCGTAAGACGGCAGATTTGTCGTCGCGGAAACACTCTCGATTGCCGCCGGTGTTGCCGGATGAAAGAAGGGGTGGAATGGCACGGGGCTCGGTAGGGAAGAGTTGAGAGGTGATCAGAGGAGTGGAGGAGAGAAGAGAGATTTAGGGAGGGAAGTGCAAGTCGACGAGACTGGGATCGGGAGGAGTCGGGTTTCGTTGTTATAAATTTGGCTTCATTACTGAGTCTTTGAAAATGGGAAATACCATGTTTTAAAAAATAATGGAAATAAAATACTCATTTCATTCCCTTGGTCTAATACCACAAACCAAACACGGTGTTACTGTTGAACCAAAAAAATAATACATAAATAATGCACTTACTATTTTTACTTGTCTGTATTCCTGTGCATACTATTAACCTTGGAGGATAGGAGCAAACCCGAATAAGATAAAAAGCGGAAATACATTTAAAAAAACATTACTTAGAAAAGTACTGTAAAATTATAAAATTATAAATAAAAAAAACATTGTAAATGAAGTGTTATCGAACAATAACCTAGCCAGAATTTAACTGTATTTGATGATACAAAAGCCACACAGCACTTGTACTAAACAAATCAGCAACGAAGCATCCATAAGATTACACTAAAGAAACTAGAACCAAAGTGAATTCTGAAGGAAAAAGTTTTAAACAAACTGACATAAAATCCAAAATCAAAGATAAATTAACTTTTTGGGATCGGCCGAGCAGCCCCCAAGTAGTTTGTCACCAATCCCATAACAGCAAACCTGCATAAAAATTTACGAGTTCAAAAAAATCAGCAGAGTAATATCAAGGTTCCATAAGAGGTGACCACGTATAGAGCGCAACCAAATTAAACATCAGAAGTAATGGAAAAAGCAAGTCATTAGAACATGAAAACTCATACATGCAACGACGAGGCCAAGTCAATCTCCTTCGAGTTAAAAACTCGAGGGTAGAAACTAAATGCACAATATCCTAATACAAGCTGATCAACAGATAGATGTTACAATTGCCCCAACCATGCTTCGGCTAATCAAGTTTTAACCCTGGAGTCAGTGATCCTCTCACATGTTGTTGTTCTTCCATATACAGGGCGAGTAAAATGATGAATTCCACGTCTGGACAAGACACTATTGTCCCTGGATCTTCTCCTGATCCTATTCAGCAATGTGCATACATGTTTTACACAAATGAATATAAAATAGGCATGCATGGCTAGACCTGTAGTTCAAAGGATTTAAAATCAGGTTATTAACCATCACAAACTGGGATTATCATCTCTTGTCATGCACTAGTTATAGCCGGCTTCCTAAAAGGATCACAAGTCACACTTTAGAAGAGGGACATCTAGACATACGACAGCAGCAGAGATGGAGGTCCTTCTTCCTGGAAGCAGAGATTTAGTTTGTGACATACTTTGTAGTTACTGCAGTACATTTCAAGGTAACCTAGGTTTAAGACGGATTGTTTCAATGCTGGCAAAACATCTTTATGCTGTCCTCTTTTAAGACAGTTGTACTCATTTGATGAGTTCATTGCTTGGAGAGTTTGCATTTATCCAGGGCAATGGATTGCTCTTTCAAATGGACTCTAAGAAAGGTGAACAATAAGACCTTTGACAGTTTGAATGTGGAGTCAGAAAAAGAGGACTCCAATTGCAAAACAGGCTTGCTTAGAATATCAAATTGTTCCTTCGATAGTCAAGTTCCAGCGCTCTCCAAAAGCCCAATCTAAGTTAAACTGTGGTATGCAGTTCGTTCTACATGCTTGGAAATTCAAAATGTCTCTCTTGGTTAGTAGTAACTAGAGCCCACAGCAGCTAACAGCAGAGAGAATTTTTTTCGTTCAGTTCACACCATTAAACACTAGGGTAGGTCAGTTGGATCAGCGTGAAAGATGGAACTTGAGGGTAATTTCAAGCAATAATTATGTCCGAGGAATAATTCCCCACTGGCTTGTACTAGCCACTCAGTCATTTGCACCCTTAAAAGGCTGATAAATTATAATCCTGTGGCTCACACCCCTGCTGAAATGCCTTTTAAAAGATAATAGGATAACATTACATGGTCAAGCACATGATCGATTGGCATGTCTGAATGGAACCTTATTTGTTGCAGCTTAAATGAAATTGGACCCAAATAACAGCCTGTTCCAAAATAATCTCAACTTATTGATTAAGGTAGGTCGAAATGCCTTTTAAATATCCAGCTGAAGACCTACAGAAATCTAATGACCAAAGATGAAAAGATTATCTGCAAGTCTTCCAGCTCATATAAACTAACCAACTAATGAAGTAGTCAACTCTACAGAATTAGTGACACGAGATAACCTTGGAAAATTGATAGTATTTTCTGACTTGCAATAAAAGGTGATGACAAAAATAGTGGAAGAAGTAGGAAAAAATAGATGGATATCAAGAAAATGACAAAAGGAAAGATAGATTATAAACAGAGAAGAGTCTTAACTAGGTATCTCCAATGGTTTATACACCTCATTATTTCAGCAATTTTTCTATTTCTTTCTCTCTTTTCTTTTTGGCCGACAGCATGAAGCTTATGAACATGCTTAACCATTGTTTGTTTGAATGCTTGGATTTGGCATCTATTTTAGTTTCACTTGAATCTATAGTGGTTACACATTGTAGCACAAAAATCCATGATGAGAATGAACCTCCATGAACTACGTATGGATATACAAGGGAAATAAAAATCTCATGCAAGGGGCATCCAAATCCCAAGGTCATAGCTGAACCATTCCTCATACAATCACTTGGAAGAAATTGCAAAGTAACAAAAATACTATCAATAACATACTGCTTGGGTTGTCTTTGGGCACTCATATTGCTTTGCAAACACAGCCCTTTCCAGGACTCAGTCATGATAAGACTAGCCATATGATCATCGAGTTGTATATTTATTGAAGTCAAAAATTAAAATAATGCAATGCAGAAAAAGAGTAAATGGATGTAGAACTATATTTGAAAAGTTCACCAAATTAAAAGCCAATTTGTAGAATTCAACGTCAAATTTAATTTGAGCATGCTCTAATATAATAAGCTGGAATGCAACTAAAACCCTGACTTCACTCATGTGCTTTTATTTAATTTGACAGCGATTTTAATAAATAATAAGGTGCTCGTATTCAACATCTAACAATGTTGTTTCATTTATGTTTTCGATATTATCACTGATGCACATGCATTTTTGGACTGCATATTTAAGGGCCTAGGCTGTAGCAGTAACTTAGACATGTTTCTTTTGAAGGCAATTGTGATCACGCAGACCAAATGGTGTCAAGTGTTACCTTAAGTACATCAAGATTGAAGATTTCTATCTGGAGGACCTCGTCTCAGCAAACTAGGTGGACACCAACACCCAAATTCTTTCAATACTGATATAGTCCACATAGAAATATGGTTCACAGAGATATAGTTCATTGTGATTCTAAAGTACCATGAAGCATCATCTCTCTCTTGGCAACTCAACAAAACTTTATCCCAACTTTTTTGAGCTAGACTATACGAATCGCATTTTGCCATTATGTCTACTAAGGGTTAATAGTAAAGACTAGAATGCAGCATTTAGGATTACACATGGATTGTGCAACAATAATATACTTGGCCAGCATTCAGATATGTATTGTCTTAATAGCAGTGTTATAAGTCATGGCCATCATGGCTTGCACAAATGCACATCAGCCATCCTATCTTTAGAACCAGTTGAAATATCTCCCATCAAATTCTCATAAAAACTACAATAGAAATATCAATACCCACTTTTGTAATAAATCCATTTTGGAACAAGCTATTATGTCAAGAGAAATAGAATGATTTTTTCCTCAGTTTTCATGGACACTCCTCATGTAAGAGCTACAACCGCACATTATCCAACATCAGGACTACTCCGTAGGTAATCTTAATTACCATGTATCAGATCAAGTCAACATTCTGAACAAAGATTCCATCAATCTAACAAACAAAACGACATATCGGGGTGTTAATTGGAAACAGGTTACAGCTAATTAAGTTGTGCACAAACTATAAACCATAAGCGCATATGAAAGGGTATAAAGCTAAAAACTTACATCATGGCCATGGAGATCTGCTTAAGATCATTTTCAATGTTCCTCATGTTCACAAGCGATTGGGCACAGAATATTATAGCAAGCCACGAACTTAGCTTGTACTGCAAAAAAAGAAAACCAAATTTATAAATCCATGCGAATAACGAAATTAACTGAATTTTTGGTGATTGGAACAAATTAATAAACCATAATTCAAATCAAAAAATTGCCAGTTTAGATCTTAAAAAAAACCTAGAAATAACAGCAATAGATCGAATATCTGCAAAAATCAAGGTTAATTGACATGGAACACGTACTCTGAACATAACGCCGGCGACGCCGAAGATGACGGCGATGAAACCAGAGTAATCAACAGGAAGATCTTGCTGAGGCACCACCGGAGGTACGTACGGCTTCGCCGACGACGGTTGCCGTGGATCGTTGGCCGAATTTGAGTTGTGCGACGACATCTCTCTCCGTGACTCTCACTCAAGCACACAAGCACCAGACGAACAGAAGAGAAACGCTTTAGGTATGTAATTATTTTGTTGGTACCGTAATTATAACAGGCCAAAATTCCAAAATTGATTAAATTTGGGATTAAATATGTAATTTGAATGATGCAGTAAATTCATAATACAACGGATTTGTTTGAAAGTTGGCAACTCCTTCCGCCAAATCCTCTGTAAATATCCTAATTCTGAAATGAAAAATGTGTTTTTTGATCAAATTATAATAGAGATTAGTTAATCTCCGTATAAGTTACAAAGATTAGTTTGACTATTGTTTTGTATTGATAATTCTCTTTATATTTGTTACTCCCTATTAAGCAAAAATAGTAGATTATTCTTGGGATTTTATGTCAACCATGTGATTGCAAGAAATTAAAATCCTAGAATTATACTTAAACCTTTATTATTTTGTGCTAAAACAAAGTAATAATTTATATTAGAAAACCTTTTTAGTGATTTTAAATTGTAAAGATCATGTTTATTTATTTATTTTGGTGCTAAGATGGAGAAAGTTGATTTTAGAGACAAAAATTATGACACCAAGATATTCTGCTATTTTAATTGAGAAATACTAAAAAAACTTAAAAATTAGACTTGATGATGTGGTTGTTGATGTGTACCAGTAATATCATCAATTTCTTTCCCAACAAAAAAAAAATCATATTTTAAAGAAGAGAATCAAATTTCATTCTTTTCATCAATAGACTCAAACCCTTCCATCTTCCCTCCCTACCGCCTTCTCCCTTGCCCTTCGCTAAACCAGCCGTAGGCTTTCTCCATCGACATACCCAAGAACCATGTTCACAACTTCCGCAATTGATGTCAATTAAGGACCCAGACCTCTTCTTTGAAAAACTCAGTTGCTTGTATTTTTTCCTACTTCGCCGAGGTCACACTTCTCATCCCCTCTTCACCTCTTTGATGGAGTAGACAATCGTTTCAAAGCCTTTTGGGGTTTGTCAAAATTGACGCTAGCAACAACACAGTACGAGACCATTTCTTCGATGGTTGCACGACCCTTCCTCCAATCTCTATGATTGCATGACTCTAAAGCTACCTTCTTGGTTACACCTAAAGGCAACCTAGCCTTTTCTCTGTGGCCTGAGGACCCTAGTCATTCAACCTTTCTTAAAGGTAACTCACCTCTGAAGCAATATGTCCGCTGAGGTGTTTATAAAACAAGGTAGGTCGGTGGGCAGCAACAAACTCTTAAGCAACACAACTTAAGAATGTATATGCATATAAGCTTAAGAGAACATTTACTTTATTACTACACAAAAGATCCACAACATGCGAAGATAGTTCATACACATAAAAAAGCATTCAGACTTAGTTCATACATATTCAAAATATATGAAGACAGTTCATTCACTAGAAAGAAAAATTAAAAGCTTGGTCTCGGCTCCATCAGAAGAACCGCCGCCTTTAAGGTATAACCCTTTGATATCTGGAAACGGCTAGTTAGCTTCAGGCCAAGGAACATCCTCCTAAGTTGAAGAAGTACTATCAACTCCAATTGCCTTGAGCGCTTCTCCCCAGCCAATTCCGAAGATCTTGTTTTCTGGTTGACAAGTTTGTCCATGGCCGTCTTTACGACGCTTGTATAGTACTTACAGGAAGAATTTTTACCGCGCTACTCTGTCTCAGGCATCTCCCTCCTTGATGTTGCGAGCTCCTTGCCAAGCGAGCTAGCTCGAGCTCCTTGCCAAGCGAGCTAGCTCAAGCTCCAGCCTCAGCAGCTTCCCTCCTCGATGTAGTGAGCTCCTGCTGCAAAGAGGCAACCTTCACTCTATTCTGCTCTTCTACCAAGTAGGGGTGTAATTCAAGCGGGTTGGATAGTCAACTCTATCCCAACCCTAGGTATATAATTTTTAACACTAACCCAACCTCAAGTTGAGGGACTCAACCCAAGCACTGTCCGAGTTTAATTCGGGCAGGCTCGGGTTGAATTTGGGTTAATGATTGTGAGTTACTTTATGGGTTTAATTCGGGTTGAGCTCAAAATAGGCTTGTTGTTCTAAACCTAATACATATATTATATAATATTCATCTAAATTAACAACCAATAACTTCAATCAAGTTTTTAACATAAAAATCATAATATTAAGAACTCAATGTTTGAGATAATGCAACCACAACCATAAAAAGCACAAATAAACACAACCAAAATCCTTGCACAAACATAGACTTGAGATTAACCCTAGGATAACATTGTATTTATTTAGTATTAATTTGGGTTGAACCCGATTATTAAATCAGGTTGAGCCCGATTTTAATATTCCGGTTCAACCCGTGAACCAGATGGCTTAACCCGAGACTCACGCCAAATTGAATTCGGGTTGAAATTTTTTGACCCAAGTCTAACTCAAGTATTAAAAATCCTAGTCAAAGCCCTAATTTTTTTGGGTTGGACTCGGGTTAAAATCGGGTTAGCCCACCCAAGTTGCACCCCTATAACCAAGGCTATCTGAAGCTTGAACTGCTTATGGCGGCAAGCTACTTCAAATGAAAGGTAGGAGCTCTGCACTGGCAAGCATGGGTTAACTAAAGTTTTGGAGAAACTAAGATGATGTTTTTAGAAGAAAGCTCACCTGAAGAAATGCCTAATATAAAGAGTCAACCAAGCAAGTCGATATAATCCCCAATACATTCTCCTTATCTCTTGGAAGCATGGCACTATCACCTATCGCTCTGACTACCTCAACGTCCTGAAACACTGAGTTGTCACCTTTAGGAATCTCAATGCCAATCCCTACAGTAGTATTCAAACTAGGTCTTCGAGCTCGCTTAGCAACAGATTTCTCTTACTTGGTAGACCCCGCCATATCAGTAGGGGCTCGCAACTCACCTTTCCTTCTAGTAGTCATGGGCTCATCCTTGTCCAATTCATCAAGTAAGTATATCAGGGAAAAGTTGTCTCTCATACCTATAATACAAGAACATTAGGAAAAAAAAAAAAGAAATAACAAAATGTTTAGTCAAATAAAGAAAGAAACAAGATAGTTTCAAGACGGTTTCAACTTACCAGCAGTGGAACGAGCTTCCTCACCCACTCTTGCTCCTGCCTCGCTGGTGTGCCTGTCAGCGGCTCAGTCATGTTCTCAATATCGTACCCAAGCCCACTACCACGGATTGTCTTCCTAACATGACTCCTTGCTCGGTAAAAGTTCACTGACCTAAAATACTTAGCAGCGGTCTTCAAAGAGATACCGGGAAAGAAGAGAGCAAAACATAGAATACGTTGGGGCAAAACCAACTAATATGGGAGTGGATCGATTGAAGCTCCTGAATGCAGGACCCCCCAAGGGCTCAGACAAGGATTGTATAACGGAGATGTTGCGACGCTTCTTGACCACTTGAGGATCAAAAGGAACTGGAGAGGTAAGAAAAAGAAAAGGGTTAGTATAATACCAAATATTTGACTCACAAGTGAACATTGGAGAAGGTAAAGTAGCTAACCTAGCTTGCTAATAGTTCGAGGGCATATAGATCCACCCTCTGATCCAGGACCATACTCTCATTCCCCTCTGACTAGCATAAACTCATCTTCATAACCCTTAGTCGAAGAAACTAGGCAATGAATAAGGGGATTCTTCCTACTAAAAAGACAATATTTTTGGTCCGAGTTTGGGATGAACTTCAAGTAATAACAAGACAAGATCTTCTAGTAAGAAAGTCGGACACCATGAAACTCAGCTAACTTCATCATCCCCCCAAGGGTCCTAAAGGAATTGGCACTAAGTTGTGATACGTGAATGTCTATTATGTGCAAGAACTCCTTCACCAAGTCGGGAAGATAGAATCTGACTACCCCCTCAACTATAGCAATAATTGGCTACTTATACCAACCATCAAAGAAGACAAGCGTATTTTGAGAGGGATGTTATAATCCTCCTTGAACCTTGCCAAGGATTTCTCATCGACTACCAAACTCCGGTAGATTCCCATGGTTCAAGCTTTACAAGACTAACCCGAGCAAAATAAAACAATCAAAATGGACTCAAGAGCAATCAAGGGGATTCAAAGGGAAAATGAGGCCAAGGTCATCGAGCCATGGTCACGTCTACCTCCCAGCAAGCTCAAAGACTCACGTACTACCATCCAGCAAGCTCAAGGGCTCGCCTCTACCTCCTAGTAAGTTCAAAGGCTCCCTTCTACCTCCCAGCAAGCTCAGGGACTCGCCTCTACCTCCCAGCAAGCTCAATGGCTGGTTTTTGAGTTTACAACACATGCCTCGGCTAGCTAGCCCAGCATTTTCAACACCCAAGTACGACCCCCATTCCAAGTTACAAACATACACGGTCATGAAATTTTTCAAGACAACAAATCAAAAAGAACATACGAAGAACATACAAAGAACACATGAAGAACATTCAAAAATTCACACGAAAAGGTGAAGTTCAACCCAAGAATCAAGTTTGAAACTCGTAAAAATTTGTAAAGTTACTTCAAGAAGGTAATCGTTGGATGGCAGCGGCTTCAACAAAAGGCAGCAATGCAAGCAGCTCTTCGAGGCTCCAAGCTTCCTTTCCTTCCTTCTCTTTAGCCAAACTTCAAAGTGACGTGAGAAATGAGGCAAGAAGGAAGTATATATAAAGCCCTAAGCTACTTGGACAATTAAAGCCCACGTCTTTTAGGCAAATTAAGCTCGTTACTAATGAGTTAAGCAAACACATACCTCAATCAATAAAATAGATTAATTGAGGTATGGGAGCCATTGTGAGGCATAAGAGAGGCTCCTTCTACTACCACTCCGCAAAGAAGGCCTCTCCTACTGCCACTCAGCTAAAGGCCCCTCTAAGCCAAGCAAGGAGGATTCTCCTACTACCACTAGGCAAAGTGGCCTTCTCCTACTAAGGACCTACCTCACACCACTCGGGCGAGGCTCCACTACGTAAACATGAGGTGGATTGCCCATGCCACTCAGCTGGTAAGGACTAAGGTATTTCCAACTAACA